ATTCTAGTAAGTGATATGCTATGAGGCAGCAATCTCATCGGTGAATAAGGTTGCAATGTCGTGCAGCATAGGTTCAAAACAGCGACGCGACCGCGCGCATCCATTCCTGATGGTCCGAAACCGTCACGAACAAGAAAATGCTGTGCACATTTATACATAGAATTACTGCACAATTGTTTTGAGTTATCAATAGAAAATGTTAGTACCTCAGTACGTCTCCCATCCATAGACGGCTTTTGCTCGAACATTTCCTTCAGCGAAATATTACGTGGATCTCTCGTTTGTTGGTTAGAGGCGTTCGACATATTATTGTCACCTTTTACTACCTTAAAATGATTGTATTTAATTATATAAAAATTACTTTCACTCAGATTTGAAATCTGCCAATTTTATTCTTATTTTATTTAGAAAATTAAATGTAAACAGCGTGACCTTGGCCTCGATGTTCATCAGCTGCAATAGCAATATTCGCGTGTCATTGTTCAGCTTTCTTGACCAATCGTCTCCGTGAAGTCGAAGCTAAACAGAGGACGAGTTATCATAGTGGAACGATGGACGAGTTGTCGGGGCGGTACATACCACATGACTTAACAGTTCCTCATCGATCGGTTTTTTCCTTATTCGAGGCACTTTTTGCTTTCCCGTCAGATCTCGGTCCGGGCGCACAGCTGAACATTGCCTTCATTATGAATCACAAATATTGGCTCTGTCATCCTGATAGCTTTCAAAAAATGTATTAGTGGCTATATGTACATAAATAAAATTTATATTGATTCCCTTTTTGTAGTCCTTTTACGCCGTTAGGTTTCTTAGGCGGTAAATTCCAATTTATTAACAACAACTGACAGGGAGTGAAACCGTCACGCTGGTGTGGCTACGAAAGAGCTTCTAAGCAGACCAATCAAAGCGAATGTCAGATCTTCAATAGAAAAAATGGAACTGATATCCATGTCTTGGTCTTATAAAGATTCATGGTGAAAACAGTGTTTGGAGGCACTCCGATGTGCCCTGCATCTCTAATCCTAAGGATATCTCTAGCGATAGAACTTCGATAACATGCCCATTTGGAAGCTATCCGATGAGGACCGGTGAAGTGTTCTGAATTCAACACCTTCATTCTTCCGCGTGTGGTCAGCGTCGACGCCTAGGTATCGGCTCCCCTGACTCATCCCCTTTGTTTAGGGGGGCCGGGGGGAACCTTAGTAAAAAGTTTCCTGCATTGACTCATGATCCCGTCCTCTTCGTTCAGGCTGATTCACCCGCTATTTCAAAATCCTATGAAATATGTATCAGTTTCTCATAGCTCTCGCGTATGGCCATCAACGCCCGTCTCCTTAATCCTTATCGTAAGGGATGCCCCCAGGCCCACAAATGAAGTCACTTGTCCCCCACGGTTACGTCGATTTCAACGAACTCGGACAACAAAGCAGTGAACCAAAATAAATAAGTAGTTTAAAATGTAGTTCAAGAAAGCTTACGACAACGGAGGCTAAAAAATTATATAATAATTTTTGATTATTCTAAGTCATTAATCATTACACTATTATAGAATTCTTGTCTGTGTGGAAATTAGCAATAATAGAGTTACTGCACTGCTTAATAAGAACCCTTTTGGATCCATTCCAACTTCGATACATCGATTGAAACGGCAGTAACGGCAACTGTTTCGTTGAACTGAAAAAAGTGATGAATTGGTCTTGTCAGGAAATCTAATGTTTCTATCGGTTACGATACAGCGATGATTGTAAGAATACAACTGGAAGAGAAACAGCAGCCGAGTGGTTAAAGCGAAGGCTCACGTAGTGGCTCTTTGTCGACTTGCATACCTTTTAGAACCAATTCAATTCAGTTAAAATAAAAAGGGAATTTCGGATATCCAAATAAGGCGGCCTTGTCGATCGATAGATATTATAGAATTTCTCTAGGAAATGCCTTACTCGACTCGAAACTTCACTCTCAAAAAACTTCCAAGTCAAAAATCCCGTTGGGCCAAGGGGCTGGCATAAGTACATAGTTTTCTCATGAACAACTTTAGTTTAATCAACACGCAAAAAGCATGGTACACCCCCCCCCCCCAGGAGGCCGTCGCGCGGCAAAAAGGCAAAGTCAGCGGACGAGTCGCGCGCGCACTATAGGGATTTCGCGTCAAGTTAAAAGAGTGTCCCATTGCACGTCCTACATCGCACATCACGCGCTGCAACTCGTCCGACGACTCTGCCTTCTTGCCGCGCGACGGGCCTCCTGGGGGTACCCATAAAAGCAAGGACGATTTTTTTTGTTGCACTAGAGGGAGTAGTACACTACGTTGAACGACTGTATACCAGCACAGGCTGGTAATAAGCAATTGGTGAAGGTCATAAGATACCAAATTGAAATGGACAACTAGAACAAACGTGAGCAACAAACGTACACTTATCGACGACACAATTGTTCCCAAAGCGGCAAGCGTAGCGGTATTTGCCAGTCAATGTTCGACGAAAGAATCCTTTGCATCCGTAACACGCCAGCACCTTGAAATTTCTTAATCAATCGTATTTTCTTCTTTTAACTCAATTTGGAAAGATGCTTCAATTCATAGAAGCTCTATGGGTTTGAGTCCCTCTTGAGCGGAGAATTCCAGCATCTTCCCGCGTGAGTGAAGGTTAAAGGGCCCAGGGGACCTGATATGAGCAGGTGACGTCAGCAGGGGATGAAGGACTGCGCGGAACCTGAGGCATCTTGGAAGTCCTAGTAAATTCCCTTATTTACAGCTGTTTCCTGCGCCCTACGCTCCAGAAAAATTTATTGATTGGGAAACTATTCTGAAGTTGCAACAAAACAGATGTTTAGGTTCTATTGATTCTTCCATGAGTACTGTAACCAGCAAAGGACGTGGAGGTTTAGTCAGAAATTGATTGCAGAAGGGTTCAAACGATAAAGCAGTCGACGTTGATTAATCACAATTGTGATACGCCATGCGTTCTGCGTTCATTCAGAGTGGCAGTAGCATTTGAATGCGATCTAACCAACGCAATGACTTACGGGAACAACCCGATGCATAACACAATTCACTACTTTTATTAACTGCTCTATCTTGATACCTACTGTGCTTTACTGCCTACTTGTAAATGATGGGCGGAGGTGATGTGGTGATAAGCGCTCACTACGTGCATATTTGGGAGAACAAATCCGAAGTCGTACGTCGTCCGAACCAAAAAAGCCTCAGAAGTCATTGCAAAGGCCTTCAGATTACCAGGATCACGAATGGAAGCGGAATGCGTGGCGCACACCAAAATGGGATTGAACTACGGCGAATGCTTTGTCCTTTGTTAACTGTAAATGGCTTTCTAGGCAGCTCAGCCCTCTAGGCAGTTTTAATGAGCGTACATATTTCAATAAATTAGTGAATATTCCAAAACTATCTTGAAACAGCCCCCATAAATTCTCTTTCACAAATTCGGAGCTAGCGCACAGAACAAAAATATACAAAAAAAATTCTTACGCCGTAGTGAAGTTTTGCATGTCCATCGCCACAAACGGCACAGATAGCTTCACCGGCAGACGCATTTTTGTCCTTGATCTGATAGGAGATGGTCGGTGTGGCTGACGATGGCACAGACGCCAACATCATCGGCATTCTGCAAGGAAAACGCATGATATACGAGAACACTGTGTGCGATTCCCAAATATAATGGATAGCTGAACATGGGTGTTTGTAAGGTGGAAGGCGTCTTTCACGTGGAACAATTTGTCATATTTGACGAACGCACGCTAACACACAATGAACAATCAATATGGTGTACGAGGTTCGATTTTCGATAACTCTAAAAACTTAGAGATAAGAGCCCTTGAAAACATAACCCAGGCAGAGATAGACCCCTGAGAGACAGTCATAGATATATCAATTCCGCGCATGAAAACCGCCCAACAAGAGCCTTCAAAGACAGCTTCAACAGCTTCAATTTCCCCCGTCCACAGCAGGCCGTTGTTTGCCTCATCTGTTGCACTCTCTTGTTTCATACTATCCTCACAGCGCTCAGTCCTTCACTGCTGTAGCACAGCGCTTTTACGAAGGTGTGTAAGCCCTTAACTGAAGCGCTTTCAACAGATTCGCTTTTCTCTTTACTGCTGGCCTATTGCACATCAATGTTTCCACGTTCGTGTGCAAAGAAGACACCAGTTCGATCTTAGCATGCCCTTAATGGACGAAAGCGGTCAACGATGGTGACCAGGTAGAAATGGAAAGTAGGAATTAGGCGCTTATTGCATGTATTTTGTTGTTGTTTATGTTATGAGAAGTAAAAACTTGGCACGTTCATTCATCACCGTAAAAGGAGTTTTTTTTACAGAAAAAAAACCGCTCTTATTTGTGAGTTTGAGTGAAATCAAAAAAAAAACCAATATAAGGACATAAAAGTCAAATCCAGAAATGTTAGTGAAACCATATGAAGTAGAATATAAAGTACATAAAAACCTAAAGAATGGGTCAGACAAAAGTTCATGGAAAGTGTTTTTTTTTAATACACGATTATGGATTTGTGAAAGAAAATTTCCAGACAGGACTGAACCCGCATCCCAACCAAAAACCATAAACGTTACAGTAATGTGCAGGTTTTCCTCTGTCTAGCGACCTGTAATTCCCCAATATGTACCTAGCTTGCCGATTCCACGTGGGCGGCCGGTATACCCGTGTGTCGGAGTTTCGGCAAGTCCCTATGACCCCGAAGTGGCGAAGGGCATCACAGCCGGCTGATGCAGGTGCTTATTGGTGGGATACAGTGCTTTTCGGTGGAAGCTCGTCTCGTATCTCTCTATTACACTAGATGTTATCTAAGCATTTTACTTTCTCGACTTTCACGGATGGGTCCCCGCTCAGCAGAGGCTGCCTCCTGCTCACGTTGCCTTTCATGTAATACTAGCGATGGTGTTGCCATTAGCTACCCGCTCTTTCTGACCTGTTCTGGGGTTTTCCAACGCCTATTTCTAAATTGATCTTGCAGTCTTTTGTTTTTGTTTCGGTTTTCCTTTTCTTTTTTTGCCCTCCTTCTTTCCCCGGCTTTGTTTTCGTTAATTTACTACGCCCATGTTTTGGGCTGGCGATGTCGTTTAGACGTATGAAAATAAAATTTAAAAAGAGAGTTATTTTTGAAGGCACATGCGCAGAATGCGTGGAAACTACGGTACTAGCGCTCAAATATGGACAAAGCAGACGCACATGCGATGAGGCAACTCCGGGGCGGGTCGGCAAATGATAAGGAAAAAGTGAACCGCTGGACTTAATGAGATGACAATTCTCTGTAATTTTCTAGATGATGGAGGAATCTATGCAATGACTTAGTTTTCGGCTGAACAAACTCTAGAATTGAGCGCCACCGACGATAGAGCATAAGGAAAGAGTGATACGCAGAGAGTGAAGCGCATTTGCAATAGTGACCGTGATCTGTAGGAAGTGTATGGATGGAAGTGTGCCGCAGTACCCTTGCGAACGCTTTCTAGTGACGAACAGCAGCCCTAGCTTCACAGCGGCTAAGCCGGCTGTCTCATTACCAAGAGAGGATTGTGAAGCGGATTAATCGTGGAATGTGACTCAAATTCTACGTAGGACTATCACGATATATTGCGTCTGTCGAGCACGGAAAGCGATTTAGATAATAGTGGTGTGACAAGAGCGGAATTATTAGGAAATTCAGGAACAAAGGAACTTGGTGGAAAAAACGATTGTAATTGGTCATGTGGCTATGCTCTGGCCTAAAGCCTGTGCAGCAGCGCGCCGGACAGAGATGGGGTCCCCCAAAACTACATTTCTAGGCGCATCCCCCTCTTATTAACTGAGATCTTGCCGGTGACAATCAGGGAGGAGGACGTGGGTTGAAGACACCTCTTTCGGCTGGGGGTGCTGCCAACGGCTTTTCATGCCTTGAAACCAATAGAGAACAGCAATGATTTTTTTAATCCCAAACCACAGGTGTAGCACCTTTCGTGGGTTGGCCAGTTGAGCGTGACATGGGAGGAGAATTTCGACCTGAATTTTTTTTTTATTAATGCCTTTGCCGTTTAATTCATAATCTCCTATCATTATCCGCTATTAGGCATTCCAATTACTGTAGCCTATTCATCAAAATGCTAGGTCAGCAGGTCGTCTTTTTGGCTCTATCCTTTCAATTAGCTGACTGATTTCGCCGCAAATATAACCAGTCATAAAGGTTTGCAAAGCTTTTTTGCCTGGAATACGAAAGAGTCATGGTCCTAAGAGCATTTATTTATTAATTTATCAATTCATTTATTTATTTGTATTAAGATTGATTTATATTTGAATCTCGTCAAAAGTGAGAAAAAACATGTCATAGATTCTCCTAAGTGGTCTCAAACACTACAAATGGTCCATATTTAAGCAATGGAGCCGGCCGATTGGGACCAACCCGAGGGCAGGCGCCTTCAATGGGCGGGTCAAGTTAGCCAGTGCGTAAATTTACAGCACCACGCTTCTCCATTTTTGATATAGGATCTGTAATTAGGAACGTAACAAGTTATTTCACGCCAGCCGCCTTTCTTGTTCCTCTCCTAAACACACGGAAGTGATTACAGCAATGATGATAGATTGGGCAGCACCCATTGAACAGTAGAAACCCGTTTTTGTTGTAAATTGAAAAAACTTGAATTTTTTGAATAAATAAGCCCCTGCTACTGAAAAAACTTTGAAGGTACATCGATGGTGTTCGCCACGTGCAAATAATTACCGGTAAAACGTACACAGCGTAAGATTTAGCCCAAACATCGCGTCTAATCCGCCGGTGGCGTTTACTAAGCAAACTTTGCCAACGATATCAGTAGCGGAACAGACAGAAGACAGAACTATTCTCAGAAAAAAATTCGTAGAAGCTTATTTCTGGGTGCTCCTGCGAAGAAGTGAACATTAAAAGCCAGACCAGACTCAAAAAAAAAAGACTCGCAGAAAAATTCCTTACCGCGGTTGACAAATCACAAAGTAAATTTAGGTATTCTTGCGCGGTGAACTTTCTGTATGTATAATCGAAAAATCTTCATTGATCACGCGGTTGAAAACGCGCCTAGTCTTCACTTTCATTGCCAAATTATCACTGACGGATACAGAGCCCCTGGCCAAGGAACATGACTTTGGTAGCGTCTCCCAAACTGCTATTCTTTGCGTTACGTCGGTTTCTTGAAAACTTTGCAAGCATCTAGCCATTACTCTTGTGCTTTCTACGAAAAATTTGCGGTTTTTCGCAAATATCTGAATAAAATAATAACTACAATATCTAAGTAAAATTCAAACCTCCGTACCAATCGATATTTCCCAGACTACATAATCCGTAAGTACCGACAAAATTTATCCATTAATCATACATGAACAGAGCAGTAAGAAGAAATTGGGAACGCCTACACGCTGCACTGCTGATTTTGCTGAACGGCAGGTACCTTGTGAAGTTGTATTATTATTTAGAGAATGTAAAACTATAACTACAGTCCATAGTATAGTTTATCAACTAATTGAAGCTTATTTATTACATTATTTTCTATCTCTTAGTATTTGTGCCTGCTCAGAGTCTCGTAAGGACCTAAGCGTCGTATAACACAGAGAGGCTTCAGAAGTTTTACTTGAAAAAATTCAAAATCCCACAAAAACTTCAATTCTCCTTCTCCAAAAGTCCCCAATCGATATTTAAAAATGAAAATTCCGACTGGGTCGGAGCTTTTGTGGATTTTTGATACCTTTTTGAAATGAGTTTAGATACCCTTTTGTTTTATACGATTTTTTTCGTTTGTTTGAAGTTTACCATTTTCCATATGTAGGTTTTACAGCAACGAGTAGCGACAATTTGTTTGCGTTTTGGGGAATCAAATCGAATATCGTAAATCAAGTGCCAAGCCCCTACCCGAACAGGCTTGGTTCACTTGCTACTATTGTACGCAGCACGTTGAAAGGATGCGAATAGTGATTTGAACATTGCTCGGCCTCAGCAGATCGATAGGCAAAAGTAGACGCATTCAGTCAAAACGAGTTTTGTAAATGTTGCGTGCGTGGCGCGTCTAAGGGCGGAAATTAAGTTTAAGCTAATTTTTTTCTATATAATCATATTCATTCCAATATAATAATCGTAATCATATTAGTCATACTCATTCATATTCATCATTTATTTTCAAAAAGAGATTTTCGTCACAGGATCAGAACAAACAAACATTTCAAACATCAAACAACATCAAACATCAAACACATTTCGCACAATCAAGACTTCCACATATACCCTGAATACCACCCAACTTGCTATACAGCGACAATCGGGCTTAGTGGCTGTTTTCTAGCTGACATAATCCACATGTAACTTTTTTTATCGGAATTTGATACTGCTTTGGGAAGCAGCCTAATAGTGGTATCATGTATCCTAAAAAAGTACTTGAAAGGGGATCCAATCAGCATTTACGGCAGAATAACGATCGGACTTTCGCCATCCAATTAACTGCTCCTGCTTTACCAGTACTGGGGAAAAGAACGAAAGGACGGTTGCGTTCACGTCTATGATAAAGAAAAACAAGTTGCGTTCACTTCTGTGAAAAATTTTAATTGAGTAATCAAAAGTGATTTGAACCCTGCCCTGGAAACTGTTACAGATGTTGGCA